TAATATACATAAATTTTATAATGATGCACTTCGGTAAAATATTTTCTGTTTTTTAAATTTTTTAATATAATTTTGTGTAACGAATTACGAATTATACGTACTTTAAATTATTAACATATTGGCAATCAATAAATTTTTGAAAAAAAAAACGGTAGGGAGCGAATTCAACAGTAAATTCTTGGGAGCCAATTCAAAGGTACTTAGTAAGGGTAAAATATTGACTGCCTGTATTGGGGAGCCAATTCAATTGCTCCGCAAAATATATCATAATTTTTGTATGTATATCTAATAATATTAAAATTTTTCGTACAATGTTTGTTTATATTTTACTCTAAACTTTGAACTATTTTAATTCTGTAAACATATCTGTATAAATTACATTTATTTATTTATCTCCAAATCACATAAATCAAACAGAAATAAAATTGGAAGTGTGGTTTTTATTCTTTATAATTTGTTAGGTAATGGATCTTTATACGTTTTGTATTGGTCAGATTGCCAGAAACTATATTTATTGAATGTCAGCATTTCTGTATTTTCAAATGCCACTATTTTAATAACGTCATATTTCTTGAGTATAAAACGTATAGAAATATAAGTGCCTTGTTTTATACTTTTATGTCGTCGCTGAATTTTAGTTTAACTGTGCAGGCACATATTATAGTCACGTCAAATTATTTTCTTTATGTCTATGCACCGTATAACTGTAGGCTTTTACTTGAATAAGAGTTTCAAAAAAGAAAAATCTTAATCTGGATAATATTATTTAAGAAATATTCAAAAATAATTTATTATATTTTAACAAACTTTCTAGGTACCTAAAATGAAACTCACATACTTTAACATTTACTTAAATTTGATGTATCCGTTCTGGCTGTTATTATACCATATTTACTTATAGTGAGAGCATCTGTTGTTACTAAAGTTTTCAAATTATATCAATATGGAATTGATATTAAACATATGTAAATATTCGAGGATATAATATGTGCTCTTTATTTTCAAATACATAGTTTCCAAACAGTTAGCTCAATAGACATCTTACATAATTTACATATCAATATGATYATCATTCAATAAGCCATGAATTTAAATCATCATCTAATTTAATGTTCTTAAAAATATTAATCTCAGTAATTAATCAAGTTGTATATTAAAATAGTCTGTTTCCAAAATCAAGTGAGTATTAGTTTTTTAATTAATTGTTATGTTCATGGCTTTATATAACAATAAGTAATTGATGTAAAATAAGAATACAAAATTATAAATTTTAATATTTACAAYAAATCAATATAACTCTTACACAGYTTAATTTGAATAATGTATTTTTACTGATGAAAATAATAAATTATAATTTTTTTAAATTGTATTATATTTCTCAGTGGTATATTGTAAAATCCTTAGTGTTTTTTTTTTTTAATTTTATATAGAAATAAGTCATAAGTCCAAAATTTGGAAATATTATTTTTATATTTTCCTACATATTATAATGGTAATAATAAATTTTAAATTTTCCAAAATGGTTATTACTATCCAATAATACACTGTGACAAAACATTAAAGATATGAAGAATAAATATTCTGAACGATGATCATATTCATTAATATTTTTATATCGTTGATTTTTTATTTAAAGATATTATAAACTAAACTATTGATTATTAATCCCACTTAAATGATGCCTAGCAGCATTTAAGAGTTTAAAGAATAGTGAACTCGCTTTTACATGAAGACTCATGAATTATAGTCGATAATACTGACGATTTTCACATTGTTTCGATATAATCTAATGCAGAGGTTCCCAAACTTTCGTTTCACGTATCACTCATATGTGTATATATATATATATATATAACAGATTTCTCACCAGTCACAACATATCACAAATGACTAAACAATATTGTGTTCAAAATGTCAATATATATTTTATATTCAGCTGATTAGACAGTTATAAATTACGATATACATTTTTAATAATTATAAGTTTTTTGTACCCTTTATTATGGCTATCCTAGATTTATAATTGTTGGTRTCTACATTCCATAATGACTTCCCCTATAAACCCTATGAAAATCATGCATAATCTGTAAATAATCTTATCAATTAGTATTCTGAATTTAATTATATTTGTCTTTGGCAACTACARTGTGCTTGAAATAACCTAGAATAGTGATGGACTAAATAATGTGCCTATTCTTTTTTTTCCAATAGAATAGATTATAGATATGGTTAGGATAGTTAAGTAATGCTTAACGTATACTTGAGAAGCTTGTAGTGGATTACTTGTGTAAGAAAAAACGCTCTATTGAACTCATTGACAAATTAATTTTTTAAGTCCAGAATCGAAATTAAACATCCTATAGAACCTGTAGTTTCTCTGAATAAATATAGTTCTGCATTTGATATTTTAGTACAGTGAAACCTCTAAATACCGGACACTCTCGGTCGCTTGAACTCCGTGTGCTATTTTGAGGTGTCCGCTATTAAGAGGGGAAATACAGTGAGTACACATTTCACCGTTCCCGAAATTCCGWCTTTTATTTGGAGGAGGTGTCCGTTAAAGGAGGTTTCACTGTAGTATAATATTATACTTGCTTGCTCACAATTTCAGSCAATTTCAAGGATTACTACCAAATTAATATTATTTACATGAAATTCGCTAAAATATTTTATGCTATAAACCACCAAATATTTGTTAAGATACTTTAAGAAAATTAGTTTGATGAACCATTTCCCTTTTGGTTTTACCCTGGTATCGACTTACAACTATGTGGCTTTTCGTGTATTATAGTTTAGGAACCACTGATCCAAGAAAACTATTTTTAATTCTGTAAAATAATAATTAAAAGAAAAAGTAAAACGATAATCACAAATCTTATTGCTCTAGTAAATATACGTTATATTTTCTTAATATAAAGTAACTTTTTTTGGAATACAATYGTATACAAGCCATAATGCAAATTATGTTAGACATGACAAGTGATAATATTATATATTAAAATTAAAAACAAAAATAACTAGAAAACATTCCATAATTATTATAAATTAAAATCACAAAAAACTAATTAACTAATTATACTATTATAGTCTTTACTTATCTACTCTAGTAAACTACTCTAAACATTTAAGTAATTATTACAACTTTTAAAATAATTTCACAAAATGTTTTGATTTTTTTTATGCTATTTCATGTTTTTTTAATTACTAAATTACTAAATTACTTTTCTATAATTGTGTCTACCTACCAGCTATTGTATCAGATTTTTCATCATCATCTGATGGTAAACCAGTGGCTTTCATTTCTTCATCAGAAATATCGAGTTTATCGGTCTCTGAATCCATCTGATCCATTTCTGTAGGTGGGTCAGGTAAGTCAAAAGAATATCCAGGTGCTATAGTCCGTTCCTCCGCTTCAGAAAGAGATGGTGGTGGTGGCCATGAAGATTCTTGACCTTGTGGATCCTATAACACGCTCAGTTATGTTATTGGTAACAAGGATAAAATGATTAAAACACAACTTAAATGTTAACATATCCAAATATTGTTTATTTCTTATGCACAATTTAGTTACTCTGTAATATTATTATTATATCTACTTCCTAATTAAATGAAAAAACATAATACTCAAACGAATTTTATTAAATTTATAATCTATTGAACCGAATAATTACTATAAGTATCAACATTCGTGTGTCTTTTTTTTTTTCATTGTTGGCAAGTAAAAAAAATACTTTACATACTGTAAGGTGATATAGCGTTAAAGGAGAAACAGTTTAACTCTGTTTATAGTAAAGTTAAGATATTACTAACTCGACAGACATTAGGTTTTTAATTTTTTTTTTTTTTTTAATCTTATCCAATCAAATATATAACATTAATGAGAAATGACTAACACTGAATAGCAGAAGTATAAGTACCATATGATTATTATGCCCATGTTTAGAATAAAAAAATATTAATTATAAGATAGTAAAAACTTAAAGCTAGAAATCACATGGAAAGTACTTGTTAAATCTAGGGAAAATATTATCAGTAATATTGGTGTGGAGTCTGGTTAAGACACTAATGTATTCTGAGTTTCAACGCCATCCGGTGCCACTAGCTCCTGGATAGGTGACCATTCGGGTTCTCAGAAAGAAATCCTTGCACACATGTACGTGATCAAAAAGCAATATCCTCATCCACCTAAAATAGCTAATAGTCATTATTGCCTTACTCAAGATCAATAATAAAAGTAAATAAATGAATAAATAAAATCATTTTCAATAAATCTCTTCAATTAATTCAATGTAGATACCTGTTTCCGTGTAACGTTGATTGATAACAAATTATTTGTTCGATTTCATTTATAAAATATAAGTTTAAATTTATTTCATAACTTAAGATAATACATACGATCATCGATCAATTGTATCGTATTTTATTTTTACCTAAACATACACTACTGTATATTAATATTAATTTTTTGTGATCGATCATTTCTTTCCATGAAATATTTTTTATTTGTAAAATAATACTGTTATTAATATTCTCATTATAGCTCTAGTCAAAAAAAAATCGGTAACATTAAAAGCATTTTAAAACTAAATATTTTTATTTATTCACATATTTAATTTGATTTTAGACTATTTTTTTATGCGTTACACGTTTTGGAAAGAGCATTCTAAAGGCTTGTGGTATAGMGGTAATTTTATTAATGTATCAATGTATTATGAGTTATACCACGATAAAGGTTAAATGACTTAACTCTGGTAGTTCAATCATCCTTTAGTGACGTGTTTCTTATAGTGAATATTTATGATAATGAAGCTAAATGGTTTTAAAGTGCCAAATTATTTAACACTGAAGGTTATATATTATATAGTTACATTATGGTATATATATTCGAAATAGCTAATAATATATCTGGTTATTATTTTATAGCCTAATATATTTATATGTTTAACTTGATAATTACGAAACTTAATTTTTATCTAATCATGTTAAAATATATTTTATTTTAAGTTACCT